CAAATCCCTTGCAGTTAGGAGAAGCATCATTGTGTTTTCTGCCATTTGCTACAGGGAGGCAGAATCTTTTACTTATTTTCATACAAATCTTTGTCACGTTAACAAACAGTACTGGTCCCTAGCCTGTCTTTTGTGAAGGAACACTAGCAGTTTCTAGGAGCAAAAGTGTAATAGTTCCCATTTTCAGTTTGATGTGGTATATTTATTAACCACGTAGCACAAATGCCAGTTTCTTTTTTCATTGGCAGGAGTATTAACAGTTTGCTTTGCTGAAAGAAATCGGCGTGGGATCTGGTTGTGAAAGGCAGTAGGGATCCTTGTTTCAGTCAGGTGAAATATTTTCAGTGGAGTTCAAGGAAGCATTAAGGTGGTTGTTCAAGGCTGAATAGATTTTGTTAGGAATGATGTCACCTCAGCTCAAAAAAGACAATGAGCTCTGTGTGTCGCTTTTTCCAAGCTAGACTAGATCTGGTGATCCGAGTGGCCTGTACCAGGCTTACCTCCTCTTTTTCCAGTTCCAACAATCCGTTGTAAAAACTAGAAATAGAGTTTTTTTTCACAAGTGTGCCCTTTCTTTTAGTCTAGCAACCGTGTCTTTCAGAGCCCTGCCTCGGAGTCCTGATTAGCGACTCGCACTGAGTTTAGGAGAGAAGATACTACAGGATGGAGGCGAGAGCTCTGCTTAGGAGGTTGGTAAACATAAGTTCATGGGAGTTACAGAAATCCAGGGCGTATCCAAATATTAATATGCTGGTTGTAACTGGTCCTGCCCCAGCTTACGTTCGCTGTTTTGAGGAGGCATTAGAATGTTTTCCCTCACTGTCAGAGCTGCCGTAGTTAGTGGAGAAGCCAGTTTCTGGTGCAGAGCTGTACGCCCACGCTGCGCACGCTCCACCAAGGCAGAGTGAAGAAACAGAGCCGGGATTTCACAGAGCCTCCGCGTCTGGGTTTGAACTCGGCCGTCTTTGCTCTTTCTGACTTAACACTCGTGCGTCGTCGGGGCCTGTAAATCCGATTTCCTTATGTTTGTTTGGAGCGTCGTCTGCTTTGAGCTCCTCCGTAGCCCTCGGCGGGCAGCGAACCGAGCACCTGGCTGAATTCCGCAGGGTGTCACTGAGGCAGCGCTGGAAAAGGCTGTGCCCACCCGTGACGCGGGACAGGCCCCCTAAAGCTTTAGCAGTGAGGTTAACTCTGTGTGGGAGACTAGTCCAGGGATGTTCAGCGCTGGCTTGAGGACCGCAGTTTGTTTTATGAAGAAGAGCTGCATGTCTTGGGGGGGGGGGGATGAAAAAAGGGCGAGGTGCAGCACCCCAGTAGATGGCAGCGTTGAGGGGGGGGGCTGGGTTAGGCTGCCTTGCTAAGCGTGGCTTCTGCAAGCCTGCCTCTGTACTGCTGGAGCCAAGCCTTTCGCTTGCCAAAGCCTCCCCCACAGCACAGCCTATGTGCGTGAAGGCTCTGAGTGAAGAAAAACCATTCTTCAGTTATCGGAGCCTCAAGTGTTTGAACTATACAAGTTGGCTTACTAGTCTAATGTCTTAAGCAAGGCAGAATCAGACTCTGAGGTGATAAACTGTATCAGGAGGGGAAGATTTAATGTGGAATAATGATGGATTTAATACAGAGTGAACAGTGTGCCTCGCTGCTGTAATTCATTCTCAAGATCCACACCAACAGCAGCTTCTCAGTAGCCCAGACTGGGAAGTCAGTTACAGATTTCTGTTTAAAATAATGACATACCTTTTTCTGAAATCGATTATGATGATTAAAAAGTTTATTTGATGGAAATAATATGTACTGAAGCCTGTGGCAAGAATAAAGGAATCAGCCCTATGGTTTTGCTCTTTAAGAAATGCTTTTATCGTCTACCAGCTAATTGTTTTTAAATCTTTACAGATAAATGGACTATAAGAAAATTGCGGATGAAGTTTCAGAGAAAATTTTATCGTACAGTCAAGATACTTCAGGATGGAGAGTGATAAAAGTTTCAGTAAGAAAATCTTAGTTAATACGGTTTATGAAGTTATTTTTATTAAATATGTTTTGTTGCAAAAAGTATTTAAAACTGTTTTGAGACTGAGTTGATAAGAGTCTATCAACTGCTAAGTTTTTATTTTTCCTTTTTCTGCTTTGAGAAAAATGTTACCGTTTCTTCAAAGCCTTCAAAAGAGTACGCAGGAAATATGTAAGTATTTACATTTGGTTTGTCATTGGCATGAATAACAACATCGTTTTTGAGCAGTGACACCCACGACTGAAATGGAAAAGTTAACCGTGTTCTGTCCTTGATGAAAGTGTTTAGCTTTGTTAGCTGTGGAGAGGATTTGGCACTGTAGTTACGCTGGGTCAGCAGCAGGGCTGGAATACCAGAGATGGATTTCCTAAGAAATTTTCAAATGTGCTGTGAAAATTAAATATCATATAACACTTACTAATATGCAGTCATTGAAGTCGCAGTTTTGGCCTGAACTCCTCCTGGTGGAATATTCTATTTAAGCCATTATCTCTTAGCAGCTGGGCTTCACTTTTCACCCCCTTGTAGTCGTGAAGTGACAGATACTCAAACGTGCAGACGTGCTCTACCTTATCTGCCCTTTGTACCTTTTATTTTTTGGCACCTGAAACTGAATCAGCTGTACCGAGAATGAGAAGGTTGTATAATCTCCAGAGCAGCAACTCCATCTGTCCTCGCTTTTCTGAATTCTGTGCTGTGAAGCAGCTAGGTTGGGCCCAAAGGGTGGAGTTAGGCGAGGCTGGCTAAGCTTGTTCTCACTGAAGGAGTTGGCTCTACTCTTTACAGTCCTCCCCCTCCTCTTCCCTGACCCCTCTCCTGGCTCTGCAATCCTGCTTCTCGTTTATGGTGGCTGTGGCACTCAGCTGATTGTTTACCAAGGTGATTCAGCTCACTAAACTAGCCGGGGGAAATTTCACTGAAGTGTGCAAAAGCAGAGGAAAAGAGGACACTAGCAACAGGGCCTTAGCTTATCTCTTTTTTTTAAAAAAACCCCCACAACCTAATGAGTATTAAATTTCATTAAATGCCAATCTAGGCAAATAGGCAGCAGAGAAAATTTGCATCTGATTCTTTTTTGTTCTCAATATGATGTTTGTGATTAGTGGTGTTTGAAATCCAAAAGTCTTGCTTGGATTTCTAATTATTTCTTGAGCAAGGAAGGTATTAATTACAGAAGACAATGCTTTATCACTACTATTACTGAAGAATTACAGTATTATAATGGAAAATGGTGTAATATGTCATTAGTTTATTAAAAGGATGGTTATCTTCCTAAAAATTTGCATACTTTGTATGTGGCATTAGGATTATATTTCAGATCTTACTTCAGTACAGGTGGATGTGAGGGAGAGGGAGTCTGGCTGCTTAGAATTCACAGGAATGTGCTTGATTTTATTTTTGTGGAGGAAAAAAAGGTTCGTTTTAGTCAGTCGGGCACAAAGCCATTTTCAGTTGTACTCAGATCTGTAGCAAATCCCTTGCAGTTAGGAGAAGCATCATTGTGTTTTCTGCCATTTGCTACAGGGAGGCAGAATCTTTTACTTATTTTCATACAAATCTTTGTCACGTTAACAAACAGTACTGGTCCCTAGCCTGTCTTTTGTGAAGGAACACTAGCAGTTTCTAGGAGCAAAAGTGTAATAGTTCCCATTTTCAGTTTGATGTGGTATATTTATTAACCACGTAGCACAAATGCCAGTTTCTTTTTTCATTGGCAGGAGTATTAACAGTTTGCTTTGCTGAAAGAAATCGGCGTGGGATCTGGTTGTGAAAGGCAGTAGGGATCCTTGTTTCAGTCAGGTGAAATATTTTCAGTGGAGTTCAAGGAAGCATTAAGGTGGTTGTTCAAGGCTGAATAGATTTTGTTAGGAATGATGTCACCTCAGCTCAAAAAAGACAATGAGCTCTGTGTGTCGCTTTTTCCAAGCTAGACTAGATCTGGTGATCCGAGTGGCCTGTACCAGGCTTACCTCCTCTTTTTCCAGTTCCAACAATCCGTTGTAAAAACTAGAAATAGAGTTTTTTTTCACAAGTGTGCCCTTTCTTTTAGTCTAGCAACCGTGTCTTTCAGAGCCTTGCCTCGGAGTCCTGATTAGCGACTCGCACTGAGTTTAGGAGAGAAGATACTACAGGATGGAGGCGAGAGCTCTGCTTAGGAGGTTGGTAAACATAAGTTCATGGGAGTTACAGAAATCCAGGGCGTATCCAAATATTAATATGCTGGTTGTAACTGGTCCTGCCCCAGCTTACGTTCGCTGTTTTGAGGAGGCATTAGAATGTTTTCCCTCACTGTCAGAGCTGCCGTAGTTAGTGGAGAAGCCAGTTTCTGGTGCAGAGCTGTACGCCCACGCTGCGCACGCTCCACCAAGGCAGAGTGAAGAAACAGAGCCGGGATTTCACAGAGCCTCCGCGTCTGGGTTTGAACTCGGCCGTCTTTGCTCTTTCTGACTTAACACTCGTGCGTCGTCGGGGCCTGTAAATCCGATTTCCTTATGTTTGTTTGGAGCGTCGTCTGCTTTGAGCTCCTCCGTTCTCACGCAGCATCCTTCACCTTGGCCTTTCATTGCTGAGGGCTTGCTGTAGGGATTCCCATTTTCTCCAGGAACTCGGTGTGAGCATTCTGGGCCGTCGGGAGCAGTTCCCAGCATCACAGGGATTTCCTGTTTCCTTGTGAGAGGACACTCTTCCCCGCTGTGAACTTTCCCTTGAACTCTTCAGAAGATCAAGAACAAAAGTTGAAGCGTCAGAATGTGCTAGAATAGAAGATTTGCAATCGGTGTCAAAACAGATTGAAAGTATCTATGTAAAAAAAAAAAAAAAAAGCATATATTTAAATCAACAGCCTCCTACCTAACAGCTCGCAAAGAATTCATTTAAAATGTGTGGTGCCGAGAAGGTAACGGTCTCAAAAATCACTTACAGAACAGTAATTTTTATTACTACTTGAATTTTAATCAATCCATCAAGTGCAACCACATTTGTGTGCTTTACCTCATTATAGCCTGACATCCCCAACTGCTAGATGCTTGTTATCATATAACTTACTTTTCCAGTTCATAAATGTGAATTCACTGTCTGTTTTTTTTTTTTTTTTTACACAATCTAGATACCGTGGAGAAGGGATAATTAAGGAAGTCCCTAGTAAAATTATTCCTTTTATGTATCTTCCTGAATATCGAAACAAATGGGACAAAGCATTACAGTCTTACAAGCTGTTAGAAAGGATTGACCAGGTAATACGATAATTTAATACAAAGAATTTATTTTAACTCTTTCTGCATGAATTATGGTGACTAAAAAGACCTCTACTTGGATGAAGAAAGCTCTCAATGCAAAATGCTTTTTTCTGGGTTGGTAAAAACTGAACCTGCTGCTTATGTGAAATGGGTGTGAAATGTGTCCTTCCCCTTAGGAGTTAAATATTTGGGGTAATTTAAAAATCAGGGTAAATTTAAGTATTTATCATGAAATAAACATCCTCAAATCTGGTCTGTGGGAAACAACAGAAGTGCCCATGGAGAGCAGGGTGAGACACAACGCCAACAAACTGGAGGGAGAGTTCCCCTCTCAGTGAGCATAGTTTACACAAATTAAAAAAAAAAAATCACCAGAGTTAAAGACAACAGGCAAATGGAATTGGTGCTGTTCTAGCGCTGTGAAATACTTGTGTGTTCTGAATTCCAGTTGCTTTGGGCTTTGGCCCAGGCACTCTGCAAACCCAGAACTGGGAATTCCTGTGAAAGAATATCAGTCCTGTGTTAGCTGGCTTTGGGCTAACCACCCTGTGCGTGGTGTGGAGAGGACACAGGACATATTCCGTGCGTATCAATGGCTCAAGTGTATGAAAGTATTCCCTAAACTGGGAAGAAAAAAAAAAAAATCCTCCCATTTTTGTCTTCTCTGAAGGTCTCTCTCACTTCGCTCTGCCTGGATCTGGTTGAGTCGGGCAGATATGAGGATGCAGTGGCACATCTCTGCTTTTTTTTGGAACTGATATAGCGTAACAGATTAGACATCTTTGTCCTGGAGCACAGTGTGTCATCTGGAGTGTGGATCTGAACGCCAAGAGGCATTCAGCTCCCCCAAACGTGGACACGAAATGGGCACAGTTTGACATTTTCAACGTGGAAATCACTTCTGTGGCAACTGTAGGCCCCAAGGAATGGCAGTGAATTCCTTTCCTGTGTTACAGAGATCCCTTTTGGTGCTCTCAGGTTACTTCAGCACTAACTAATGATGAGAACTGTTGCCTTACACTAACAAGCAGACATCCATTTTTACCACATACTCATTACTCAACACGTAACGCTGCTTTGCCAATTAAATACAACTGAACTTCTTACGTACTAATCCAAAAAAAAAAATCACCTTTACTCGCAGGACACTGGTATATACCACAGTGTAACCCACAGTTATGGTATGGGACTGATTTCATCAAGAGATTTTGTTGACCTGCTGTACGTTAAACCGTACCCCGGTGGGATCCTTACGACTAACTGTAAGTTGTGTGTCACTACAGCATGGTTTTGTGTTTTGGCTGCATGCTGGAAAGCTTGAGGTGGGTGGCTGCAGAGTAAGTTCTGCAGCCTAAATCACAGCATGGATCCCTGTGTGCTCTTAATGGTAACAGACCCCTCCTGTTTATCCCCCAAACAAAGGGAGGTTTTAATCCTGAAAGTATCAGAATTGATCTTGAAAGAAAAGACTGTATTTGTTTATTCTCCTATTATGCCTCTTTGAAAAATTAAAAAAAAAGTTGTAGGATGAGGAAACTGGGATTTATTTCATGGTAAGAGATTCAGTGTTTATATAAAACCACTTTTCTGCATTTAGATGGCTTCCTGACCAGACGCTACTTGCCTAATATTCTCAGAACAAACCCCTAATTTGCCCCATATTTGATTCTCTTGGAGTTTGGCTCTGTAAACACATAAAATTTAAAATGAGTAATATTACAACTATATGGCCAACCAGGAAAATAACCCCACTGCTACTTCATTTCTGTGCTCACCTTCTTCCTTAAGTACACGGCAGAAAACAACATTTTCTTCGTTTTGGAGCTTGACCTATTGGTATTTTTCAAGCTGTATTCTTTACTTTATTACGTAATAAAGTAATGGGTGACTAAACAAAAGAACCCCTCCTAACTACTACTGTGCATGCCTGCAGCAGTTTCCTCATCTTCCCTGCAATTGCCTTTACTAATTAACAGCATCTGCTGACAAACTGACTTCTTTGTCCAGAGCTGAGCCACACCTCAGCACCTGGGGTACGTGTAAGCATGTCTCAAGGTTAGTACATTTGGGTGTGCCCGCCTAAACAGAGACATTTTCACCCGTATTGAACGAATTGCACAAATGTTTTATGGCCTTTAGCCGTTTTGCGTTCGGAATGGAATCGCTAAACGCAATCGGTGACCGTGTTGTGGGGTTTTGGACTATCCTGGAGCAGTTGGGAGTCGGGTTAGAAAGGGTTGGTTTTGAGTTGTCTGATGTGTAGAAAGGTGATTAATAATTTGATGGTGCTTGTTTTGTGATTTACAGCTGTCAGTGTGGAATATTCCAGTTGCCCTCCAACTCCCTCTTGTGTCCGAGGCTACAACAATCCCTGTGGATACGTCTGTTCCCCTCTGCCTGAGTAAGTATTTGCATCCTCAGTTGTCTTCTCTAGCCAAAGCTTAAAATCTACCAAACCATGCAGCTTTAAAAAAACCCACGTTCCTTCGTTTTATTCCACAGAAACTTTTGTGCGGATCGGTTTTGTGACTCAGACTGTTTTGAAACAAACAAAACTTGATACATCCTCCACTTTTCCGCATTAGGAATTTCACCAGCAACGGGCTATAAATTGTAAATGTTTGTACATCCCCGATGAGAAGAGTAACAAGTGTTAACTGAAGGATTTTGCTCCTTTCATCCCAGGAACCCAGAGCACTCGAAGCTAGTCGTATTTATTCAGCCACAACTAGGAGGAATGCTTCCGGGCTCTGTAGTGGAGACAGCTTTACCTACTACTCTCATAAACTTAATCACAGAAACGAGAGCTGGACTGAAAGACTTGAAAACCCATAATTAAACGTAAGTGGAAAATAACAACCTCTTAAGTCACACGTATCTCTTACATGGATTCATTTTTAAAAGCAGTAGACGATGACGTTTATTTTAATTGTGGTTTAGGTGGAAATATATAAAACTTCACTGTTGAAACGGTGAATGCTGCTTTTTTTCTGTTCTTGGGAATGATGCAAGAGTTTACACTGAAGGGCCTTCAAAGTACAGGATGTCGCTTTCACTGTAATCAGGTCATGGGTTTTGTACTATTTTTGCACTTTATCTGCAGAGAATATATATACACACACACAGACATAAGAATGTGGTGATGGAGATGAGAGCAGTGTTAAAACACGGCAGCAGTCACATTTTGCCACGGCTTTTCAACACACTTGGATAAATCCTTACCTCAATTATGTACTCTTGACTCTTGTGTACTAGAGACTTTAAACATGTTTATTAAGTGTGCAAGTGTAATTAGCACCCATTTCACTGCTTTGGAATTAAATATTTGCAGAAGAGCCTGATGAATCTGTATATAGCATCTCATTAAAAGCTGCTCTTTGTACACAGAGTGGTTTGTCGTTTTCTGAATCCTGAGCACCAAACCTAAACATTTTTTTTTTTTTTTTTAATACGCTGACTAATTTCCAGGAACAAGCTGGTGATATGATTCATTTGGAAGTAATGTTTCCCGTTACCCCTTAGTATTTCTACTACCTCTAGTTAAGGAGTTAACTGCAGGAAATAGCGATAGCTGTGTGACTAGGAATTTCCATTACAAACCACGCAAATAGTAGTGCAAATTAAAGAAGAGCCTGGAAACTGCTTTCACCTTCTTTGCTCGAGCCCCTCTCAAGTTGTTAGAAACAATTAACTGCATCTAGAGTATAACTCAAGGAAAATTAAAGTAAAAATTTCTTCCCCCCAGTCAACATGTTAAGGTATTAATAGTGAATACTAAAATAAGTTTGCATACTATTATATTTTTAGGACAACTAAAGATTCATCAGATAAATGTCAATTTATAAGAAATAAAAAGAAGAGGGACTAATTACTAGTTAAACAGTCATCAGCAGGTTTTATGTCAAAAGTTATCAAAATACATGTTTAATATTCACACCTTTACAATTTTTAATAAACTTTTCAGAACTAAAGTGCCTTCGAGCGCAGATTCTTAGTGTTGCTCCCAAAAACCCTTTCACTGGGGTTTAAAATACCTTAGCAAACTGTTAGACTGTGCTAAACACGGTTCTGGATTCCTTCTTCCTTTCTTTGTTTTAGGCTTTTCAGGGGGTTTATCTGTGGAAGTTTTGGACGCAGGTTCCTGGCTCTTCCATTCAGCTAGTAGCTCTTTTTGCACATCTGCAGGTAGTTCATAAAAAGTCTTTGTGTCAACATGAGGAGGAAATACAATTCCTGTTTGCCTGCTGGAAGTTTTCTCCTCGGAAGCTGTTTCAAAGACCTCCTTATCTTTACCCAGGACAGGCACCCGCAGAGCACTCTGGCCAGCTCCAGCTTCCAGGTCTCTCCCCATGAAGTTCAGAGCATCAGCAGGTTGTTCCACGCTGCTGCTTGTCCCCGGGTTTCCGTGACCCTCGGGAGAACCCCCGGGTACCCCTTCCCTAAAACATGCTGACAGCCCACCTGGGATGTCCTCAGGAGGGATCTCTGCTGGGTTTTCAGAAATCATTTCTTTTTGAATATCTTCTGGAAGTTCCCTGAAGACTTCCTGATCGATGTCACCAGGAGACAAATGAAAGGGGAAGTCAGGAATTCCTGGGTTTTTTACATTGCTTTGCTTTTCCTCGGAAAGTTTCCTAGTTTTTGTAGTGCTGGTGCAGTTCTGGTCCCAAGAAGCACTTCCCTCACCTTGTGAGACATTTTCCACTTCCTGGGGCAAAAAAATGGATGTAAAAAGCTTAAGTATGTTCTGTGTGATCCACTAGTGACCCAGCATTATTTTACTAACAGCAAGTTCTTCAAATTATTCCTTAACAGACAGGGATTATTTTTTTTTTCCCCTTATGATCTGTAGTGCTTTTTTCAATCTTATTTTCAAACATAAAGTACATACACATAGGAATCATTTGGTATTTTCAATTAGCAAAATACCTTTAAGTTACATTTTATTAATACATTTTAAAACTCTGCAGGGAATTAGGAAGGAATTATGAATTTCGGAGCTCATTCAATGAGAGGCTAGTGGTCAATACCGAATTAAAACTTTGATTAATTTCTAGTCTGAGCAGGGAGACTTGAGAAGGCGCAGGAAGGTAAATAGTCACTGTGAAAAGATCTTAATAAAAGCAACAAGGTAAATGATAAGCAGCTTTAAGGAGATTTTAGTCTAAGGTAAAAGATGCTGCAGTATGACAGTATCTAAGTGCCCTGTTGTTCACACATGTTGAATAATGGGCAGATTTTACTGGAATGAACAGCCAAAATTCAGCAATTATTTCTTAGAAGACACAAGTTTGGATTTCTTCCTCAGTGAATTCTCTTTTCTTCCAGTAAGGGGCTGGATAACCTAGCTGGTTGGCTCACTCAAAAGAGTATTAAACCTCTTTTATGCAGTCTGGCTAAGAAAACAAACAAGTAACACCTGCTTAGAAGACTCCAAATAAACCTTAATTTAAGGTTTAAATCTATAAAATAAAGACAGACATAGAACTTCCTTCCCTGCAGAATAGTTTTCAGTATCTTTCAGCTTACCCGGACACGTTTACCAGAGCCTGACGGTGGTGACATCTGCTTTAAATAGAAACCAATTGATCCTTTCTTGCTGCTAGGAAGATCTTTGAGGTTGGAGAAGCAGACGCTCAAAAGGGTAAGATGAAATGGCACATCTACATCTATCATCTTCCGAAAGAGTTTCATTAATATATCAACCAACGGGGATATAATGTTGCTGCTTTCTAAAACAAAAATGGTTGGAAAAAAAAAAGAAGCAACGTGTGTAATCAAGATTGATTTAAATAGCAAAGTACAGAGAGAAACTTGTAACTTCACATTTTAAACTTTTAACGTTTTGCAAAAGAAGAGACCAATCCCAATCCAAGCTGAAAATGCAGCGCTATTTTTAGCAGTATATTTATAACTCTGTACACTAAGGAAACCTTTATTCATCTCGGAACATGAATCCCTGAAGTATTAACTCTGAACACTGCCAAAAGGCTTCCAAAATAATCTGTCAATAGAGTCATTAAGATGTTCACTCTGCCCTGCCAGGTACACCCTGAACTGAATAACGCTTTTTTTTTTTTTTCCCCCCTCCTCCAGAAAAATGCTTAATTTTACCCCTGTGAAGGTTACTTTGGTCAGAAAAGAATTACAGAACAACAAGCCAACCTGAGTAGATTTGAAAAATGATCTAATTCTACCAAAAAGGGCCTTTGCAGAGCCATGTAGGTGTTTAACGTCACCCCAGTAGGGGTGATAACAACGGGGGGTTCTTGGGGTTTGTGACTAGAGGAGCTGGCAGAGACTGTTTGTCTCCTCCAATGTAGAAGTTGCAATTTTGAAGTGAAAACTCCAGAGACTTTCAAGAGCTTTTCTGTGAGGAGTAATTCAGGGAAGAGGGCTTCTGTGTGCTGACACAGCAGTGATTCAGATTTATTTCCTCACCCCAATCTGAATGAAGTGTCAAATGAATTGCGATGGCTGGTTGGAAAGCTCAGGTCTGAGAAGGACAAGAGCCTTTATGTTATTCATTTTCAGAGATAAATCAAAAAGACACTTTATTACATAATAAAACGGAGAACATAATTCAAATCCCTAACAGAGAAAAGCAGATTATTAATATGAGAAGCAGCCCCCTGTCTCCCCATTCTCACCCCACCAAATTTACTGCCTGGAATCCAGCCAGACTGGGTTAAAACATGGTGGAATTGTGGAAGTTATTCCTACAGGGAAGGTCTGTCGGGTTTTAGCATATGTCATCAGAATATATTAATAAGTAGTGGAAAAATTGTCAAATATTAAGGGTAAGGGATAATACCATGATGTTAAGTAGCAGAATTTGATAGAGAAGTGAAGCGGTAGCAGCACAAAGTGGGTACTTTCAAATATATTGTTTACCTTTTCCAAACTTCTGGCTGAGATGAGGGGGAAGAGCACACTGACGGCTCTCCCGACTAAACCACTTGTCGGTTGAGAACTGCCGGATGGTCAGTCGGATCGTGTGGGGCTGTCTGCCATCCCTGTGGATCCTGCAAAAGGAATCGGAATTTCAAAGAATATTTTTCCGAGGGTCTATAGCAACTGTCTCAGCGTCTAAGAATTACAAATCTCCCAATTTCTGGCTTTATTTCACTGATTATACCTTGTGGGTTCTGGTTGATTTCCTTAATTACCCATCAGAAGTTCCACACAATGTGAATAGTCTTCAACTGAAGTGCAAATTAAGTGGGTCAGTCTGCAATATTTTCAATTTAATACATTAAAAATAGTCTATTCTTTGTAGTTACACCCTGTATAATCCTCAGCTTTTAGCTTTTTCTGCTTGAGGAGGAAACATCCCCAGTTCAGCAGCAAAAGGTGAGCTGGTTGTAATTGTTTCAAAGCATGTAATCATTTCTTTCCCCTTCCAGAAGGCACGGAGGTGGTGGTATTTTCAGTATTAAAAAAAGATTTCTCTCTTCTACATGTTGTAAATGAGACACTACAAACAGCCTGGCTGCAAATGTTATAATTACTGAGCAATGTCTGAGGTGCAGGTAAAACCCTGCTTGCCCACGGTGTTTGTGGAATGAAAATGGATGTATCTGTTGTGAGACCTGCAGGGATGTGGGCACAGGAAAGCTTTAAGACTTGGGGATGCATATAGAGAGTATCAAAATACTGAGAGAAAAATCAAAATAAAAAACTTTTAAGACTGGGAGATGATTTTAAGGCTTGGAGAGGCATGTAGAGTATCAAAATATTGAGAGAAAAATCGAAATAAAAACCTTTAAGACTTGGAGAGAATTTTAAGGCTTGGAGAGGCATGTAGAGTATCAAAATATTGAAAGAAAAATCAAAATAAAACCTTTAAGACTGTAGATGATTTGAAGGTGTGAAGAAGCATGTAGAGAGTATCAAAACACTGAGAGAAAAATAAAAATCAAGAACTAACGGGGGACACAAAGGCTGTTCAGGACTGACAGAGGGGTTCAAAAATCAGAAGTTGAAGTTTGGCAGGAGAGGAAATGCAGTTCAGTGCTGCTAGAATAAAATAATAAAAAGGAGTAATGAGAGTCCTGGCAGTCGAGACATGAGTGACTGCATCCTCCTGCTATGCTGGTGCTTTTGTCAAGTGTCTTGGGCTTGGCTACTGCCTGGATTCCTGGGGCAAGGGAAGGACAAAACGAAAATGTTCTTTGCCTGACAGAAAAATAAGTGGTGGAGCAGCATAAATGGGGATCACCAGCCTGAAAGTACAGAAAGTTGCTTATGGAAATAGAAAAAAAAACAGAGGGTCCTTCCCAGGGATTGGTGAAGATGCTCTAAAACCGAAGCATCAGGAAATGATGCAAAGGTCCTGATGGGAAAAGCTGCGCAGGACAGGGAGGGCTGGCAAGAGTTGAGAAAAACCACCCAAAAGGGGGATGTTGGAGAGGCAGGTGCCCTCCCTGTAACTGTATTTTGTGGAGAGAGGGAACGTGGAGTGTGAGACAAACCTACGATGTGCTCCAAGTGCCTCCAGGTCAGCATTTCAGTCATCAAACAGAGCTACTGAAGACAGTCACCTGGCTACTAGGTTAGGAAGCAGTTCTTCAATTTTCTCTTTAACTTCCACTTCTGACGAGCATTTTTTAAAGGAATCTTCATCGCTAAACGACTAAAAAAAAAAAAAACCCCACATAAGTCCTTTCAGTTTTATATTTACTTCAAAATTCCAAAGAGGAAAGAAAAGCATCACAGTTAAGTGTAGAATTAACACCAAGATATCCTCGGTGCTCAGAGCTCAACTAAACTTCAGGAGAATTGCACATTAATTGGAGTTGTACTACAAAATACATACAAAAACGTAGCATTATGGCCAGTCCAGCAAAGCTGTATCAAACTAAAAGCATTTTTTTTTTCCTCTTTCTAAAGTAATTCAGAACAATACTTGTACCTGAGGAGGGCCCGATGGAGTCACAGGGGAGTCGTCTTCTCCGTAGCTGAGTTTTTGGATACGTTGAGCAGCAGAAACACCCAGTTCCTTCTCCAACACTGCAGGTGGAAACGCTTGGAGATCACACACATTCCTAACACCCAGCATTTCAAGACGTTGGGTAGTTTTGTAGCCAATGCCTAAAAAAAAAAAAAAAGATGTGTTAAAAATACCTGGAAAAGTGAAAATTATTTATACCTGTACATAGAAGTCCCCACCTGCGTGGTACTGACAGTTATTTACACTACTACAGTGCAGGCTTTTCAGCACCATTTTTGCTGAGTTTCCATTCAAATTTTACAATCCCATTAGAAAATTGGGAGCCAGCAATGGTCGGCCGGTGTCTGTAGCCTCCACCGATGCGTCCTGGCCAAGGGCACAGTGTCGGTGTGGAATAATTAGGCAAAATACTTCCTCAGAGTATTCTGTCAGGTTCCATTTTTAATAACTGGCAGAAGGTTTCCAATCAGCAAGTTTTGAAAAGTTTGTGTTTAAAACCACGATGTATGGGCTTCAATAAAAAGAAGCTGCCACTTCGGTATTTTTGAAAGTATCTTGGAAAGTGCTGCAAGACTTTGAGGTCAAGACCAAAAAAGTAAGAAAACCAACGTGCTTTCATTCCTGCTAAGCAAAACTTAAAATATGAAAAAAGAGAAAGCAGCCTAAACGCACCCTGCTGCCTGCTTGCGAAAATGAGATTTTAAAATTTTTTTCAGTTCTTCTTTCAGTCTTTTTAATTAATCCTAAGAGTTGTCAGGATGCTCCCAGCACCATACTCACCAGGCACTTTCTGGATGTGATCGAGGCTGCGTATTAGATCTTGACAGCTTTCAGGCAGTAGAAGTGTTTGCTGATTTGGTTTAAAGGTCCCAGATACCAGTTTAGACAAGAATTTGTTGGAGGCCACTCCTGCACAGCCGGTGAGGCCCAGTCTCGTGTAGATGGCTCCCCTGAGCTCTTCTGCAATCTGGGATCCGATAACTAACCTTACGTGCGTTGCGTCGTGCAAGTTGACAGCTGCAAAGGAAAAAGGGAGCGGGGTTTGGTGTGTAAACAGTCCCTAGTTAGCCAATTCTCTAAGATTTTAGATATTTTTTTTACATTGTGTTAAAGCAGTAGGATTACGGTCTCGTGTGTCAAGTGGTATTGCCATGGCTTCTGAGTTTAACCTCATGCTTATCTCCCAAAAACCCTGGTCAAAGGGAGAGTGCTGCTTGTCCCAGCCTAGGGATACACTGTCCAAGAAGCCCGTTTAGGAAGTATTTTAAATGTAAAATACAATATATTAAGAGTTGTCAAAGAAAATTGTTAAATATCAGAGATTCTCGTACCAATGTAACCAAACAAAGCTTTAACTGAAAGGGCTGCCTTGTAGCCAAGCCCTTCTGACATGCAAATGCCAAATGAGGAAAAGGACTATCCAGGCGTTTCCCTCCTCTCCAAAGCCACCACAATAGCTCAAAATCCAGGAAAAAACCCCTGCCCGTTTGCCTTCCTAGTGCAGATCAGTATCGCGGCGTCGCGATTGCATCCACGTTCAGTCTCAGTAAGTCTGTTCCTGCCCCCAGGAGGCAAAAACATCTTCTGTTGGGTTTTATTTGTTAAAAACCTCAATTTAGCCAATTCTATGTCTTAGTACAGTAAAACTACTTTAAAGGAAAAGAAAGGACAGTGACAATCTGTTCTCCTGAGTCACTGTAGATGCTCCTCTGCCACGGAGATTTATTTTTTTGCACAGTCGTAATTGGAACCCTGACGAACATTTGTGATCGGCGGATGCTCAAATACGGAAACCAAGCACAGAGCAGCACGACTTCCCAACTGTTCAGCCCTGAACAACACTCAGAAGCAGAGAGATACTTGAACTTCACAAACGTTGACCGAATTTTTCGGCCTTGAAGAACATTTAACGCACCTTGGTGGTTGTACACGTGGCCGGACACGCCGACTCTGGACCATCCACTCTGCTGCAGCTGGTTTAGTCTTTTCTCTACAATCTCGGTGATATCCACAAAGTTTTCATCAAACCCGAGCCTTTCCACCAGTGGACAAAATTCCCCCAACAACTCTAGGAGGAAAAGATACCCAAGGGTAATACGCACACAGCAAAAACCATCAGGTTTTCATGTCTGCTTTCCCATGGATTTGAGTAGGAAACTTCTCTTCCAGATAAAATAAGATACTTCTCTTAGCAAAGGTGAAGGAGTATTTAATCATCCCACAAACTACCCATCATCTGCTTTTCTTTGCCCCAAATCTCTCTCTTTCCTCGTTTCTCTTTGAAATTACAGTTCTTAACCTCTGCGGTACTTTCTCCTAAGATCTGTTTCCCTGCTGGGTGGGTTTTTACTTTTTAAAGTTACTACTATTGCTCCTGCTAACACTGCTAAATGCTAAAACCAGTAATCAATAGCAACATTGGCAAATCATTTAATTAAGAGATAACCAGAGACATTCGCCCACTCGGAGGCTTCAGTGTTGTGAACTGTTGCTTCACATTTGGAGATCTAGTACTGCAGTCAGTGTTGAAATAAGAAAAATACTTCTTAAAAGAACTACAGGGGCGTAATCCTAACGCAGCACACGGATCCCACGATGCAGTTACGACGCCTGACCCGGACTGCAACCAAGTCAAACAGTTTATTTTCTGAAATACTGTACGATTGTAGGGTTATCACCATGCTATGAGCAGGAAAACCTCTTACGCTGTTGCACGCGTGTGCCCGCGCACAGGGAGTTCAACAGAAAGCGTTTTGTCTTCTGAAAAATTGTTAATTTTGTACCTGTAACCTTGTACGACGTTTCCCTGTATGGAGTCAGATCTTCTCCGTTAACCAGTACCAGCTGAGGACACTTGTCTTTAGCGTCCTTGACAGACATCATTTTCTTAACTCCACGTTTTCTGGCTTCATAGTTACAGGTAACGACGATGTATTTCTGTTGCACACCTGAAAAATAAAGGGGGTTTTTAACATTTAGGTTTCTCGGTGCTTCCCAGGAGAGCACAGTGCTGCCACGCCGACACGGGTGTCTTATTCTACGAGACTATTAAGGACAAATCTCTTGATTTAGATCACTGGATGGTTAAGAACATTTTAAAAGTTTATAGTAATTGTAATATCGCTCTTAATTTTGGGCCTTTCCAGGCAATCTTACCCATGAAAGTGCTCTTTATCCAAGAGTCATTTTAAGATGTACTTTGCTGACCACAGACACTACCCTGTCTCACGTTCATTCTTAACTCGTGCACGGAATAAAACACGTGTGAAACACGACTGCGTCAAAAAGCTGAGGCTCATCTGTGGAGCTCAGGCCTCTCTGTGCCCACGGATGTTATAAACCACCTTCAGTCCCCAGGAACTGCTCAAGCACGTCGGCAAGCGCCTGTACTTGTGCTCAAGAGGATTTATGAGTCTCGTAGTCCCAGCTACGTGGAGTCTAGACTGCACTTTACTCCCTCTGGGTGTGGTTACACCTCCAGTGTGACCGCCTGTATCTCACCACGCAGCCACGGCCCGACTTTACCCCCGTCCTTAAGTTTCTTCTGCCCGGGTACGCATCATCATCCCCAAATTAACAGGGAAATAGCTCGTACCTAAAGGCTTGTCTCTTAATTCGGGATTACGGATCATTTCTACTTGTGCATAAAAACAGTCCAGGTCGATGTGCACAACCACTCTGCCCGCTGCGCTTCCAGCTGATGCAGATTTGCCGTGCTCTGCTGCGAGGGAAATGAACAGATTAAAAATCACCAGCTGCCTCACATGGGATGTCACTTGTTTTTTTTTTTTTTTAAATTAATCCATCCTAATAAACAGATATTACAGCAAGAACATACAATTTACCAGTTTTACACCAATTCTAGCGCTGCGTTAATTCGAGAATTACTTAGGAGCGTAAATCACCCACAGCAACTGGGTTTACGACTAAAACACTCCTGTCTTCAGAGGGTCAGTTCTGTTTTTCACCAAAGTATTTTAGAACATCACTTTACTGATAAAACAGCCTTACACGGCAGAACGCCCAAACTTCTTTTTAATGTATTTCTGTAAAATTATCTTTTAACTCCACAAAGCCTATCAGGTATCCACCTTTCCCGGGGTGGCCAGGGAAGATGGCAAATCACCGTCCAACAAACAGCAAACCCTGCCCTGAAAACAAGCCGGCCAAAGTGAAAAACAAAACGAAAGAAAAAAAAATAAATATAAAGGGGTTTATTTCTCCAAGCTGAAACAAACCCCAGCTAGGTGACGTGTCCCAGCGAAACCCAGCTCGACTTCCGTCTGCTGTTTGGTGACGGGTTTAACATCTCCTGAGGTTCCCAGAGGAGAACTGGAGGAATCTAGCGCGATTGCCAGCAGGATGACAGCAATAATTAAAAAATAAAGAGGCAAAGCAGGGCTGTGGCTGCCGAGGAGGGGCCCTGCCCTCCCCACAGGCCCTCGCCATGTTGTCCTGAGGCGGCCCCCGCGCCCCTCCCGCCATGGCAGCCGTGCCCCCGGCTCCCACTGTGGTGCTCCACGGTTCCTGGCCACAACCGGGCAACTTCCAGCCCAGGGCTGGCTGCGGGGCTGATGGCCGGGGAGCCCGCAGGGCTGGTAAGGATCCCCCGAGCCCGGTTTTCCTTTGGGAGAGGAGTGCTTAGCGCTGCTGCCCGCTGGCCTGTGCCAACCCTCCCGAGCCCAGCTTTTCAGCTCAGCCTAAAGAGAACCCCCTCCTGCCTTTAAACTAAGACTTGCCATCATCCGTACCCAAGGTGTCCTATCAAAACAGAGCATCGGCAGGGGATGCGCGCCCCCTTCCCCAAAATTAAGTAGGTAGTTTACCATTAGTATCAAGAGTTGAAATTTTAGCCAAGTTAAGAGCGTGTGAAATTTGGAGAAGTCTTGCCACTGCTCAATGTTCTCGTTATTACTGCACGGGCTATAGTAAAACCAAGAGAAGCAACAGCAACCTAATTTTGTCTCACCCTCCCGCTTGCTTTCCGAAACTGAAAAGATAGTTCTTTTCTCAGGGCAGAAATGAAATAAATTCGAAAGTCTTGGCTCTTAGGCCACGCTTCTGTAAGTCCAGCCTGCTGCACAGCAGAGGAAGCTGCCTTCTGCAACGGCTAACCTCTTCCCCACAGCACCTCTATTTATAGCGCCCCGCGCATCTGATGAACCACACCTGGGACCTCTCCCTGCCCTGGCCGTTTCCGAACGGGCCTCGCAGGCTCCTTTTGTCCCAGGGAATGGACTCGGTCTTTCCACTGCCCAGCTGGAGGAGCGTGAACTTGCTCCCTCTCAGATCCCGGCTGGTGGAAAAGTCTGTTTTTGTCAGCGCTGAATCCAGCATCATTTGACCCATCACGTGTTGCTGCTAAAGAAAACGCAACGCCTGACAAAAGGACCGCTAGTTGTGGAGGAGGAACAGTCATTTTTCCTGAGGTTTTTTTTTGAGCGGAGCTGGTTGAAAACTTGATTTTAGACGAGTTGTGGGTTTGTCTTACCGCCTTTGTCTTGACTTGCGCTCCCAACCGTGTGCTAATACTGTGGCAGATGATTGGGTGGCATCTGGCATCGCTGTCTGGCTCTCTGCATCTGCCTTGCCTTTCTGTGGTGCTGCCTCGTGAAGCCTGTCTGAGCCATCGCACCTACGGTCTGAAGCCTGTTTGCTGGATGGGTCCTGGTTTTTCTGCAGATTGCTAAACTCAACTTTTCTGCGTAGGATTATTCTTTCCAGAATTAAATGCCAGACTTTTCTCAAGCCAGACAGTCGCTGCTGACTGTGTTGGAATATATTTAATGTAGACGGCCCAAGTAACTTCAGCTGTTTGCTCAGAATGGCCTTGTTTAAAAACACTTGAGCTGAGCCACATGTAGGGGTGTCAGCGTTTTATGTATTACAGATCCTCAATTAAACGATGAAAACACGGGGAAAATGCTGCAAAGTTGTAGCGTTTCCACGTTTTAGTTTTTTCCTTTGCAAAGAATGACATGTAACTTCATTAAGTTCATTAAGGCACCTTAGTTAGCTGACTAAAAACCCGAGGTTTATGTTTTTATGATTTCTGAAGGCTAGAAAAAGCAAAACAAAGGGCTTGGACAAAGCTTCGTTTACAGGAATGGTCTAAATAATAATAGTAATTAACGAACAACTCTTGCAAGATTAATACATGTTGAAATCTACCTTATTTGCATTTTGAAACTTGCTCCTTTTGGGGCTGCTTTATGATATTTTAACGTGTCCCGCTTTAGGAAGATGTGAACCAGTTGCTCGGGTAAAGTAAACCACTTCCAGTAGTTTCTGGTAGGGTGTCTTTGCCCCTCTTCACATACATCCGCGATTATCATAAAAAAACCCATTAAAAGGGGTGTGGTGGAAATACTTTACAAACACTGGACTAGATCAAAATGCAGCTTTTGAGGTTCTGCGTGATGATCCGAGCCTTTACCCTTCAGATTTTGCCTCTGCCGTGGCCTAAAACCCCGTCGAGAAACTCTTTTATTTTTTTTTTTTTTTTTTTTTGTCGAAGATGCAAGATTGTAATCTGCTCATCGCTGCCTCTAAAAATTCTGTCTTTTTCATGTGGGAAAGTGGTAGGAATAAATGTTTCAAATTTTAGGATGCCTTCCAGCATGGTTAGCAGTGATGCAGATCTTCTGCCAAACAACCGCAAAATTGAAACTAAAAACTTACCATGCGACTCATCGCTTAGGGTTTGCTGATTTCACTACAGATTACAGGTTTGGAAAAATAAGTAGTCGTTTATGTCTAGAGAAATAACTTCTGTTCAGTAACAGGACTACTTCTGCACAACCAAAGTGAAACAAATTAAAAAAAAAAAATAGTTTTTATGGCTGCAGGCAGGACTGGCATAGGAAATTTATCCTTTTTTTTTTTTTTTTCCCCTCCTTTTCATTCTGTTATAGCTATGAGGCAGATTTCAGCACTGCTATATTTAAAACAAATGAAAATCTGTTTTGATCCAGTAAGTAGAGCAGGCCAACTGCATTCAAAAGAGGGGAAAAAAAAAAAAAAAAAAAAGAGTGTTAATAAATGCCGCATTGTTAAAATACGTCGCTGAGTACTAAGTGGGTTTGGGTTTGTGTGCCTTAGTATTCCCCAAAAGCCTTCACAGGCAGGATTTGGCATGACCTCTTGGAGAGTAATGCCACACTTTTTTTGGGGCAACTGTAGGACAAAGGACGTTGCGTTTGAAGTTTGTACATCTTCGGAACAATTCGCTTAAACTTCCAAGTTGCTTCATTTTATACGAGCAGTCCGAAGAAAGAGATTTCCCATGCGTGTTTTGGTTTGAGGATCCTGGGCTTGCACAGGTGACACCGGAGGCCTAATCCTTGTTAATAGTGGTGGAGAAAAATCTTAATTCTTCAGGAGCTGAGTCTGAGGGAGGAGAGAATGGCTATATTGACTAATAGATAAAGCCTAGAATAAAGTCCAGAAGAAGATTACGAGGCGAAATGATGTTTGTTTGAATCAGTTAGAGATACGTAACAACCTCCCGGAATATACATCATCTTTGCTAGTTTAAAGAAGGTCGAAATTCTCTTAGTGACCGTCTTGTCCATGTTATAAAGCGAGCGCTGAACTTTCTCAGGCGAGCTGAAAGGCAGTTTTTGTGGCTCCTCGAGAATAAGAAGTCCTCTTCGGGAACAGCTTGTCTCTCTTTGGAGCAAAATCCTTTCTAAAGGCATCCCGGTATCTGCAGAGTGATAATCTGAGGGTATTCTTTCCTTTTGTCTACAGACAGGATATTACGTTTAAGCCTATACATCTGATTTTTCTTTTAAATCAAGCTGCCGTGCTCGTATGAACCATATTTCCAATTTGTCATAACTGTTGTTATCTTAACTGTAATCAAAGTTCTCTGAGGAGCTGTACCTACCCCAAGGACGGTTTTTAAGTGACTCTCCTATTTGTGCAAGGCTTAATACTGTAGTAAATTGCCATATTTTATTTGAAAATATATATTTTTTTTTTTCAGTGTACTATGAGGTAGGGGGTGCTGCTGTCCTGCCAAAAGGCTCAGCCAAGCTTCCAAAATCCTGCAGAAGTCTGAGCGAAGTGGGAAGTTTGAACATGGGGATCTCAGCTTCTGTTTTCTTTACCCCTTCTCTTCGGTGGTAAAATCCCTTTAGTGTGTATAACCTCCCGGAGCGTTTACCTGTGGAAAAAAAAATGTTTCTTAAACTCTGACGTGAAATTACTTCTTTCGCAGCAGCAGCAGCAAATGAATAAGTTGGCTTGATGCATTCGTTCTTCGTGGGAAAAAAAAAACAAACCCAAAGCAAGAACTACTCTACTCTTTTCCTAGTCAAGATTAAAAAAGCCGAGTACTTAACTCCGCTTGCAGTGGATTCTAATAGACTGTTAAGTTTAACTACAAAAGCTTTTCCAGTATAGGTGTACCCATGGGGCAAACAGACATCCCTTTGAAGTTTGTTTTGTGGTTTGACAGTAAGATAAACACCGGAGAGTTTCCAGTGACAGTAGGACTGGTTTAATTTTTTTTTTCTTTTCTTTTTTTTTTTTTTTTTTGTGGGGTGTCTTTTCCCCCAGTTTCATTGCTCAAGATGCTATCCCTATATGGTACTACTTCTATATAACAAGCATGGGAAACATACTACAATTAATTTTTTAACTCATTTTTCCTGAATATTTCACATAAAGATTGGTCAGCAGAGAGTAGAAAAGCAGATAATTATTTGAGCCATAGTTACAAAGTACTGTGAAAACGGATAACAAACCTTTTAAAACAGAAATACAGAAAACACTAAAAATCACACTCAAAAAACTTCAAGAAAAAACTCCAATATAATACCTTAATGAAGACCCTTTCATGTGATGTGACTCTCTTACATGAGTTCTTTTTGATTCAAAAAGGCTTTCTTTTCTTTTAAATATAACACTTAAATTAATGTGTAAAGCATAGTGATGATTTAGAGCTGTTTAGAGTGGGGGTGAACTTTTCCATTTGGTTATTTGAAACCAATTTCCTTCACAGACATTGAGTGATGATGGGTCGCTAAGGGAATGATTGGACACAATGACTTTGTGAACAAGAACAGAGTTTTAATGTTATAATTACAATAATTATTTCTCAGAACAAGGCAGATTCAAAGTATTGACCACTGCATTAAAAAAGTCCATATGTGGCTAAGAGATGGTAATGGTGAGATAGCAGTGAAATACAGCTTCATTTCTGTTGTATTATTGAATTGCTTGTCTTGATTCCATTTGCAACCTTTTTCAGTCTCTCAGTATTAGAACAATACTTGAAGGCTATAGAAAAGTATTAATTGCCAAAAGACTTAGTGTTGTCTGGCATCAAGCCACTTTAGTAATCCTCTTTTTTTTTTCTTTCTCTTAATCCTGTGCAAAAGAATGGACTGTATTCACCAAAATTATCAGTG